GAAAAACACCGTCATGTAGCACTTCTTCAAAGGTAATAGGTGATCAAGAATTCCTGTTACAGGAAACGATGAATGAGTAAGCAGTTGTTTTGTTTTGGTTTGGTTAGAGGGCGCATGTACTCACCAGAGAGAGACAGAGACAGAGAGAGGCAAAGTGAAAAAGCATCCCACCCCCTGTGGGGGTCGACCACACCACAATCCCTTATCCTCCATTATTTTCTCCTTTTGGGATTTTGGTCACATACATACATGTGCCTGGCATGTCTCTGAAGCCATCACATCCAGGACTTGAACTGCATAGTCGTCAGGCGGGATCCAGCCGCCTTCACCACCACGCTTACTGCCACACAGCAAGCAGATTTTTTAATAAGGTACATCCTTTGCCTTCAAAGAGCTAACGGTCTATAGCTGCCTCCCTGCTAATGCATCCCTCTGGCTGTATTTAATTTTCAAACACCTTAATTGCAACTTAAGAAAACAAAAGACATATTGATGCTGTTTACCAGAAGCCTGGTAACCCATTTGACAGACTTTCTCACTTCCCAATTGTGTGAAATGTGTTTGATAGGTTTGAAAGAGAAAAACAAAACAAACAAATGAAACGGTTGGCTTTAACAAGCATCCTGAACGTTATTTTGAAAACAACCTAATGAGAAATGTTAGTAACTCATCAAGAGGAAAGCCAGACTCACGGGGCTGGGGGCTAGAGGCAATGCAGTTTCGTTTCCTTCAGAAGCCATAAGCAGGAGGAGGTAGGAAACCCAGTACCGAGGAGGAGCCTGGGAGTCAGTTCTGATGGGTGGGTTAGAAGGTTTGGAGCTTGCAGCCCAGTCGTGTGCTGGTAAGTGGATGTTACACAAACCTCAGGGGCTTATACATAATTTACTTTCTTAAGTAGGTAGATGGTGTAGAAATGTTGTTGGCACTATTAATTGGACCAGAAAATTACGTCTTCATGGATTTCCACCATTCCTAACCTTTCTCAGCGAGGGCTCCACTTTGCATTTCCCAAACTCCGTAAAACAGGGTGCCACACAGGTCATGCCAAGCCAGGTGCTGGCGCCTAGGCTGACAGCAATTGTCAGTCTTGCTCTAATACCTGGATGCAGCCCCAGGAACGGATCCTTGCCCCTATCTCCAACCTCTGGCATGTGCAAACAGAAGATGCAAGCCATCGAACCCCGGTCAGATCCCAGCACTGCTCCCAAACTAGTTGTGTGACCTGGGACAAGTTGTTTCACCTCTCTGAGCCTCAGATTCCCCATGTACAAAATGCAGAGTCCAGAGGAGGAGACTCAGTGTCTGGCACTTCTCTAAGCTTCCTTTCTCTGAGACCGGTACCCGGCAGAGAACAGAGCGGGTGGGGAGAGGAGTAAGGATGTAAGCTATAGATAGGAGGAATGGGGGGGACAAAGAAAACAGGATTTGAAATTTAGGCAAAGCGATTTCACCCTGGCTGTTCCACTCACCCACTCTGCGACCTGCATCAGCCTCTTTGGGCCTCAGTTTCTTATCTGTGAAATGGGGATATGATACCAACATTACAATGACTCATGGCCGCAGATATAAGTGACTGGCACTGAAGGTGCTCGGTGTGGGGGACGGGGAGGGAGGGGCAAGACCAATCTGATTTCAGAGCTCCGCTAAGTCACCAGACGGCCAGTGCAACCCTCTCCCCATCCCTGCCTCCTCCTTGCTCTGATTTGGAACGTGCTGATTTTGTATTGGTGGTGTCTGGCCCCAGTAACTGGATATAATTCAGTAGTGGGAATTCAAACACAGATTTTCAAAGAGGGTCGCACAGACCTTCCTGACCTGCGGTAATCTCATTGACTGCCCTGAGCCTCCGGCAGCAGGCGTAACATGATTAGAGAATAAACAATTGGCAGTGCATGGCTGTTTTGTCCCTTCGAAACACTTTAGAACGAGGTGGTATGGTGTGGGCATAAGCAGACAGGGCAGGAGCCCCCCGCATGTGGTAGCCAGCCATGTGGGATCCATCTCCCAGCGCACAACGCCGAACCACTGCACTATGGAGCCAGCCCTGCCTCTCCTACTCTGTACTTAATTCTTACACGCCAGTCCATCTAAGTGCAATTCTGGACTTGGCAACTCAACGACTCCAGCCTGCCGTCCACCGTGGGACTGTCTGCACTTACCAGGAAAGCTGAGCAATGCCTGGCTGAACAGCAGGTCTACAGCAGCAGTGAGCTTGGCCTGATGGTCTGAACTTAAAATAATTGTGTTTTCTGCCCAGGGGCGATAAGGTGTAAATTTGAAGCGTTGTGTTATACTTATGTGTCATTATGCCCCGAAATGTGGAAGGAGAGCTGCATCTTGTCCCAGGTTTGTAGCAAAATTGCACTGTGTGTAAATAGCTCTCTGGCCTTTGATGTTGAGCAGAGGAAAAAAATAATAATCCTCTAAGGAAAGCCGGGGAGGAGCATGGCTCAGCAGTGCAGGCAGGGAGGCAGCGCAGGCGTGCCGCCAGCAGGCTTTGCTTTCTCTGAACGCCTTTGCCCACACCCAGGAAGGTAAACTGTCCCCAGTCGTCTTCCTTCCTAAAAGGATTATGTCTTCTAATACCTTCATAGAGAAGCGAGTGAAGATGCTTCAGTGCAACTGTGTGAGAGGCCGAGGCGAGAGAGGGAGGAGAGGGGAGATGGACGTGGCATGAGCTCCGGCCAGAGTCAGCATGGTGGCAAAAAATGTGGAATCTTGTGTTTTGCTTCCTGTAAGTCCTGAAAGGAAACAGTGTGGCTTGTACTTCTTCACAACCCCCCTAACTCTCGCACATAGTAGGAGCACGTGCAAATGAATGGAAGAAGCAAGGCAGAAAGGGGTAATATGTGGCTCAGGAGTAGCCCAGTGACAAAGGTCCCTCCCAGAACAGCACACTTAGAAAGCACACGTATTAGAATCAGACAGACAAGTATTCAAAGCTCAGCTTGTCTACTTACTACTTGTGTGACCTTAGACAAGTCACTTAACCGCTCTAACCCCAGTTTTCTCCTCTGCACAATGGAACAGCAGTACCCACCCATGGTCCTGGTTATGAGAGTTAAATGAGACAATGTGAATTAAGTGTCTAACTCAGTGCCTGGCACACTCTCCTCCCTTACTTCCATCTACCTACTGAGATCCAGGAGAGAAAGGCAGCCTCCAAGACTCACCCCTGATATTTATCTGCCCCTGCACTGAAGGATGAGAAACCAAAGAGCCTCCCTGTAACCTCCCGGTGCAGGATGGGACAGTGCAGTGAAGCACGGTCAGGGAGGTGGCCTGGGCCCAAATCTCAGTGGCTGCAGAAATCTAATACAGTCAGCCTGGCTTTCTTCCAGCCAATTTTGCCAGATGTAATTTGGCTTCAACTTGAGGTTCTAAAGCAGTTACATAATCATAATAACCCATAGCAGTTGTAGAAAGTTTTTGTAGTTTTCAAAGCACTTTTGCTTATATCACCTCATTTGATCCTCTGAATAACCTTGCGTGAGAGCAAAGGCAAGGACTAGAGCTCCCATTTTAAAGATAGGAAAATTAAGGCTTGGAGGGTTGATTTTTGGTTCATCCAAAGTCAAACAATGTCAAGACTTGGACAAGGATCTCTGCATTTCCTGCCCTGGGCGTTTTCCACACTGCATCTTTGTAATGCTTTCATCAAGTAAAGATAAACTGAGCTCCTACTAAGTGCCAGCGATATACTAAGTGCTGGGATGTAGAAACGAGAGGAGAGGTAAGTTCAGGAGAGATGCAAGACCAACTATTCAGTCCCATGTGATGGTTGCTGTGATGAGAATCAGGGGGGACAGTCAGGAAGGAGAGTAGCCCAGCTTGGTGCAGGAAGGCTTCCTGGAGGAGGAGATGCTAGATCCATCTAGCTCTCTATCCAGAACTAGAGGTGGTACAGGCGGAGGCAGAAAGCAGAAAGCTGAAAGTGTATGAACTGGCCGGGGTTGTCTGGAGATGCAGCAGGCTGGTTGGTCTGGCTTCACTCACTCACTCATTTATTCATTTAGCATGTATTTCCAGAGCACCCTCATGTGCCAGGCACCAGCTAGCCTGTAGGGATAACTACCTTAGTGAGCAAGCACGTGGAATCCCTGAGCCCATGGAATCTACCTTCTGCTGGCTGCCTGTGGGCCTATCTGGGAAGCAGGAAGAATGGGTGGAGACCATCCTAGAAGGATGGGTATAAGGCATCCAGATTGCAGCCTAATGTGGACAGGGAGCCCTCACAGATTTTCACACAGGATTAACATGATCTGATTTGCATTTCAGAAAGGAGCTCAGGTTAGCTTAAAGGATGAACTGGAGAAGGTTGTCTGGATTCTAGAAGTCCAGCTAGGAAACCACGGTGGCCCAGGAAAGAAATGCTTAGGTCCTAAATTCTGGTGGTATACGAAAGACTAACCTCAAGACAGATATAAGAGAGCTACAACAGGCCTTGTTAGCTGATCGGACCTGGGAGTAAGAAAGAGGAAGAGGGGACAGAGACTCGGGATGGCTTGGGTTGCTTGGCAGGTGGTGATGCTATTCCCTGAGATAGGAGTATGAGAAGATGGTCTGAGGGGGGCAGGGAAACGAGAGGAAAAGATCTGTTCCCTCTGGGACATGCTAAGTGTCAGGGCCTTATAAGACACTTGGAAATGGTGGATCAGTGTGTCTGGAGTCTGGGACAATGCTTGAGACTCAAGATGTGGGTTGAAGGGAGAGGATATTTGATGCTTAGCGTGGATGGGACTTCCCAGGGAGAGTGTACAGAAGGAGAAGAGGCCATTGCACCAAACCCTAAAGCATGTCTAGATTTATTCTTTGCTGCCATTTCCCACTTGGCAAAAGCCAGGCCACTAATCAGAGCGAGGAATCACTGGTCCCCAGGAGGGATTGATAAGAGGGGCTGTGGGACTCTGGCCTATTGTTGGGTTTCTGGGGCCTTGCCGACCTCTGACCCAGTCTGAAGTCACTCGTGTGCTTCTCTCTCTCTCTCTTCTCTCCTTCAGGTGTTTACAAAATATGGGAAGTGTTACATGTTTAACTCAGGCGAGGATGGCAAGCCTCTGCTCACCACGGTCAAGGGGGGGACAGGAAACGGGCTGGAGATCATGCTGGACATTCAGCAAGATGAGTACCTGCCCATCTGGGGAGAGACAGGTGAGCGGGACACTGGGAGGTGGTGGAAGGGTCCAGGGCCGAGTCGGAAAGGCTGGCTTGGCCCACTCTGTGAAGGGCAGCTCCGCAGCATGGCGTCAGTGACATGCCAGCTAGGAGTAAAGCTGACCCCAGCATGGGCTGTGCTGCCCTGGGTCTTCTGAGACTTCTCTAGAGGGAAAGGGACAAGTGATGGACTATGGAGAGGGAAGGTAGGGAGGGTGAGGGGAGGTGTTGGAGAGGAGGCATGGAGGAAAGCATGAAATAGCAGGTATGGCTGGGCAGGTGAGGGGCTTCATTTAAGAGAAGAGAAAAGGGTGGATTAGCCTCTCCCTTTCTCAGCCATCCTGAATATCCCAACCCAGCAAGAATGTCTGCCCAACAGGAAGAATGCTCCTGCCCACTGGGGGAAAGTGGCAGGGCCGTGAAGTATTGCCAGACCAAATGACACGGCCTCAGGGACCTGGAGCCCATGGGGTACCTATGCGTATGAGCCCTGAAGTATATTTCACTTCATTTATTTATTATTAATAACAATACCCAACTGTTCTTCACCATGTATACTGTCTCAGTCTTTGCACCAAAGTAAGAACATTGAGGTGAAAAATACCAAATCCTTGACCTGCCTAGAGGAGATACAAGGACAGGGAACAGGGGCTCAGGGGAGCATCATAGTGCACGGGGCATTTGAACAGGGTCTCAAGTGAATTCTGGGCTATCTGGGTTGGGCCTGATGTAAACACAGGGTTCATATGAGAGGGGTACAGAAAGGCTGGACAAGAGAAGAGGCCACATGATGACAGAAGTAGAGACTGAAGTGAAGCCACTGGAGCCGAGGCATGTGCTGCTTCTAGAATCTCAGCAGAAGGAGAGACAAAGACATGCCCCAGAGTAGGCCTGCGGGTACAGATAGACCCAAAGTAAGACAGATGCTGTGTTCAGGGCCCAGTGGGGAAGATTGCAGGAGACGGGATTTCGGGGCATGATCTGGACATGGGCCCAGGGAAGTGTTGGAATGAGGGGAGTAGAGGAGAGAATGTTCTAGCAGGGGAGAGTCCTGCCCTCAGGCTGGAGCTGAGGGAGGGGTGGAGGCCAAGCAGCTCAGCCCCTTCTCTCACTGCCCCTATCCTGCCTCTGAGGACCAGCCCTCACCATAGCCACACCTTCCAGGCTGCCTACTCCACACCCTCTTCCACCATACACTCTCCCTCCCAGCAGCTCTCGCGTGAGCCCCGAATATAGAGAGGTGAGTGAGAGGTGAGCATGGCCATTCACTTGGCATTACAGTTAATCCTCGGCTCCTTCCTCTGAGAAGCAAAATGGCCACACACCACCGTGGCAGCCATGCCTGCTAGAGAAGCACTGTCGACCCTGACTGCTTTGCTAAATGAGAGACTCCTCCTCTCTGCCCCAAGGTACAGGTATAAAGTTCCGTGTTAGTGTCAAGTTCTGACGTTCCAGGTGGGCAGGACCTAGTTGGAGGCCAACCTGTGTCCTGTGACTGTGTGGTCAGCCCCAGTTCCTAAAGACTGGGTCTTGGTCCCCAACAAACAGCCCTTCTTTTTTTTTTTTTTTTAAGAGGTTTCTGCTATAGGGTGTGTGTGCTCGCCAGAAAGACAGAGAATGACAGAGAGAGAGAAAGCAAGAGATCACCCCCCAGGGGAGATGGCCACACTGCAATCCCTTCTCCTCCATTCTCCTCTCGAGATCTTGGGCACACATGCACATGCGGCCAGTGTGAGTTTAAGCCACCAGGTCCAGGACTCGAACCACAGTCAGCTGCATGGGAGTCCAGCAACAGCCATTATGCTAACTGCTGGTCCCATGAGCAGCCCTTCTCACAGACACTAGAGAACATTTTTGCTTAGCGAAACACCTAAGAAAAAGGAGAAAACTAAATGAGTCCTGGAGACCCACAGCCAAGGCCTAAACAGAAGCTAGTTACATTCTTCACACTCAGTCCATGCCAGACACGTCCCATCATAGACATCCTCACACAGCACAGCCCGCTGTGAGGACCTGGCCTAGGGCCTGAACACCAGCCATAGATGGAAAGGGTTCTGACCACCTACCTCAGGAAGTCTGCATTCTGCCTTCCAAAGATACAGATGACCAGAGCAGGAAGAAACGCTGAGCTCATTTATTCCAGGCTCACCTTCTCCTTCCCCTGGGCCTGGCGTGAAGTCACAACATACTTAAAGTCATGCAGTAAGTCCGTGGCCACATCAGGACTGTACTGACCTAAGGTTCTGGACTTCCTGGACTCTGAGTTATACCAATTCAGGACAAGTTCATAATTGTGATTAAGGACTTAACACATGCCTAATACTGGACAGGTCATCCTCAGGGATACAAAAGATATAAGGCGAAGACCCTGTCCTTCAGGCGAGCTCACAGACTCTACAGGAGAATTCCAGAATCACTCCTAGCAGGAGCTTGAGCAGGCCTGGGGTGATAGACCAGCTCTGTTCACTTAAACCATTTCCTTTGAGGTTGAGTAGTTGGAGAAGCAGCTGCATGAGAAGGGCAGTTTTAGAGCACGGGCAGAGGGTAGAAGACACAAATCAGAGAAGAAAAGTATCAGTGCTGTCCAACAGAACTTACCCAGTATGTGGCCAAAGCACATTTGGAATGTGTTGGGGAAGAAGAGAGAACTGAACTGAGTATTGCTTTTTGTTTGTTTTTAATTTGCCAGAGGGCATATGCAGTCACCAGAGACAGAGGGAGAGAAAACATCCTTCACGGGGTATGGTCATGTTGCAACTCCTTTTCCTCCATTTCTCCACTCTGTTGAGAATTAGGGCATGCATGCACAAGTGCCCAGCATGTTTTTCAAGCTGCCAGGACAAGAATTCAAATCATGGTTAACCATGTAGAATCCAGCACCCTTAACCAGTAGGCTAAGGGGTCGGCCCCAAACTGAGCTTTTAATAACATTTCATCTTTACTACTTTAAAGTGAGATAGCCACAGGGTGCTAGTAGCTGCCTAGGGGAGAGCAATTACTGTTTGGGAATGCAGCTTCATGGAGCTCTGCTTGGCTTCTTTTCCTTTACAGCCTCTTCCCACATTCTTTTGGGGCTGTGATAATCCTGCTTCCTGGCCTTCTCCTTAGGACAGCCTTGATTAGAAGAGTTTCTTGCTTCTGTTTGCCAGAGGAGGAAGCTGAGTTTTGAGGACCACCCGGCCTAGTCCCCTGAATTCTTAATCAGGCCTTCCTCCACTTACTTTTCTTCAGGCTGAGAAGCCACTGAGCAGTGAACTGCCTCTTGGAGACTCTGGTCATCTCAAAGCTTCTGTCTCCTTGGCTGGTGGGGGTGAGGGCCACGTGGATGGGAAAAAAATCAGTGTATGTGCTGAAGAACGAGAGCTGGGTTCTGGCGAGTGACGGATGCTTGTCTGTGGTTGTCTGTGAAGCCAGCTGAGGAAGCGCATACTCATTGCCCCTGAGACCTGTGAGCACAGCCAGTCCTGGCTCTGCTGTGGCAGAGGTTGGCCTTCCTGACTGCCAAGCCACATGTCCCACAGATGCCATCTCCCTTCCTTGACCATCCTACTTCCCAATCCTGGAGACAGGCCCTTCTAGGAGATATTTGGGTGATGATGGAGAAGAAAGGAATTGAAATGTGCCAGTGAAGGAATGGCCTCCAGCAGCCGGATAATAGAGACAGCATAGTAGAGTGAAGAAACTGACACGGTACAGACAGATCCAAGGTCAAAAATCCCAGCTCTTCCTTTCCTAGCTTTGTGACTGAGGACAAGTGGATGAGCCTCAGTTTCCTCATCTGTGAAGTGAAGGAAAATAAAACCCATCAGTTTTGCAGGATGGCTGAAAGACTCAATTGAGAGTTCTCTGCAAACCATAAATAGTGTGAGCTAATCACAATGATCAATAAATGAGAGGGTATTAAGATATCCCCAAGGCAGTGGTTATTCCAAATGTCGTACATCTTTGACAGCCTTTTGGGATGTGACAGCCTCAACATCTGGAAGCCCCGTTCTGCTCACAGCAGAGCCTCTGATACAGTCTTGCTTTGCCTCATGAACAGCTCTCAGAGTATTTTTGGTTGGTTTTTTGTTTTAGTTTTTGCCATAGGGCAGGCACACTTACCAGGGAAGGAGGGAGAGAGCAAAAGTGAGAAATCCCCCCAGTAGGGATGGCCACATAGCAATCCGTCCTCATTCTCCTCTTGGGACTGTGAGCACACACACACACACACACACACACATGCCCAGCGTATTTCCCAAGGTGCCAGGTTGGAATTCTCAGCCATGTGGGGTCTAGCTGCCTTAACTATTGTGCCATCAGGCTGACCCAGCTCTCAGAATTGTAAGGAAGTGATGAAGGAACCAGTCTCTGGGTATAGTTCTAACAAGGAGAACCTTGAAGGAGGTAAAAGTGGTTCACAAGCCCATGGCACCAGGGAGGGAGTTAGATAAAGGTGTCTCCTTTGAGTAGACCCGGCCCTATGGGGTCATGCTTAGCAAGTAGAGGATTATTCTGAAAATTAACAAAAATATCCCTTGCTCTGGGCTAATAGTGCCACCATCGGTGCCCCCTTGGTCAAACATCTCTGTGTGGTGACCCCTGGTAATATGTCATTTTAAAGAATGTAGGCTCAGTCACATGTGGACCTAGACAACATGCCCCAAATAGGCCCTATGGAGTTGGGAGTTTGAGATATGACATGTTACATGAACAAAAAGGATCCAAGGGCCAAAAAAGAATCTAAGAAACCCTAGCTAGACAATGTTCAATTCATTGCAGAAATTCTTTATGATGCTACATCATGAATCTCCAACATAGGGATATTGCATGCAGCATTTATTTCCCAAATGCTTTTGACCATAAAACCTGCTTTTTCATGGAGGAGCTCACAAAATATACTTTCAGAAAAACTGTCCTAGACTCTAGAAGTGCAGATTTCATGGCCAGAGTTTTCTAAAGGAAATTAAACTGAAGACAGGTGGGAGATTGTTAAAAATGAATTTCTGTGTAGATAT